TATTATTAGTTATTAGTTATTAGTTAGTTAGTAGTTAGTTAGTTAGTTACGTTACGTTAGTTAGTACGTAACGTAAACTAACGTACGTACGTACGTACGTACTACTACTACTACTACTACTACTACTACTACTCTCTCTCTCTCTCTCTCTCTCTCTCTCTCTCTCTCTCTCTCTCTCTCTCTCTCTCATCAAGGTTTACAAATTCTCGCTCTAGCTCTAGAGTCTGGATATGGAAACTCTCACTCCATATTTGCAAATTCCTTTTAGCTCTGATGTCCATATTTCCACCCACTTTCTCACACACTTTGGAATTGTATACTGTGGAACTATTTCTTTTTTATACAAAAATAGCCATGTTCGAGGTTTAGACCATTGAATGATATCATTGTTAGTACTTATTCAAGTACTTTTACTAAAAATGTCAAAAATGGACATGTAAGGTTTAGATCCTTAACCAAGGGTATTATAATAATGTTATTTATGGTGCAAGCGAGACAATTTATCAAAATGCTCTTATTTGTTCAAGCTTCAAGAAATATAGGAAAACATTTTATTGGAAATAATAAGGGATTGTATACAAAGATACCATTTATCTTTGGTACAAAGAGATCACCGTTACCATTTATCTTTGGTACAAAGAGATCACCGTTACAACTATTCCATGCGAAATGTGATAGCTTAGATGTGTCATAAAATTCGAATAAAATTCTCAATGGTTAAAAATAATCGTGTCCACTTTGTACTAAAATATAAATTATCTCATTATATACTTTTACAAAAGTTAATGAGGCTAGAACTCAGTACAAACAATACTAGTTTCATTATTTGGCTCGAGCATTTGAGTCGAGGTAAACAATGCAAACATTTTTGCTTATCCTTTTCAAAATTGGAATAAGAAATTTTAGTGAAAAATATGCATTTTTACTTGGAATTGGAACAAGTGAAATTCAGGGCTCCCTATTTTGGTAATTTTAAAAAAAAACTGAGTTGGTACTTATGAGATAATTTTTAAAAACTTAAACTAACTAGAAAGAACTAATGCCATGATAAATTAGTCAATTGACTACCGTATTGATTTTTTATTTTTTGAGGTGATTCCCTCTATGATATTTCTCTTTCTATTTAACTGTAGCTCGGGAAACATATTTTCGTGACTTTCTGTTATCAAATTATAACTCGAAAAACAATACCAGACACGTAGGATCCGGGAAAGCAGGCCTTTCCTTGATTGATTGGTGAGAACCAGATAGATGATGGATTATATCCCCTCTCTCTCTCCTCAATGGATGAGTTGCTTTCTTCTACTGCTCTCTCTCTCTAGAGAATGTTGCTCTCAGTAAGTAGCAAGTGACCTTCTCTGCTCTTCCTGCTTTGTAC